ACTATCCCTAAAAGCGGGTAGGAGTGAATTCTATCTTGCACCCTATGTCCCCAGCTATTCACCCAGTCTTACCCTTGAAATGGGAGGCTTATTGAGTCGGTAAACTCGGGTCATTCTCACCCCATGCAAATCTAAGGATAATTTCGAATAAACAGAAGTTCATAGTTAGCTCAGGATTAAGATCGAGTTACCTAGGTCATCGAATGGAAAAATCAGTCTCAACAGTAAACGACATTATAAAGTGAGAGTGATTTTCTTCATGGTTCGATCTTATGCAATACTCGTTGCATAGGACGCCCCCACTCACATGTCTCGACATGTACAATTTAGTGATCACATTGTTTATATCATATATAAAAGTGGGCCGCATCTATAGTGTCCCCATGATAAGGTACTCAGCCTTATCCATGTACTATAGATCATTTTGACTATATACTTGAACTTGATCCACTCTTATGTCTCTACATATCGTTCAAGTAATCATACTATAATCAGAGTATTATTAGTTTATTTGATTTAGATTAATGATCGTAAAATTTACTTTATTCAATAACGATCTTTACTGAATAAACATCAATAATAACTTTATAGAATATGTTTTTGTTTACCAACTATGAGTTTTAGGACATAAAACCCAACACGGTTGCTCCCTTCGCAACGGCTGATATGACTGTCCCCTCAGATGTGGATCCTACACCTACTGCTCATCCGTATGGTACTCGATTGAAGCACAATATCAAGAAACCCAAGGTGTGTACAGGTGGAACAATAACATATTCTGTAGTTCGGTCTTCTACGTCTGAACCTACTTCACATATTACTGCTATGGAGCATCCGCTCTGGCGTCAGACAATGGATGATGAATTTCAGGCACTTCTAAAAAATAAGACATGACACTTAGTTCCACCTCGTGCTGGTCTTAACGTTATTGATTGCAAATGGGTTTTCAAACTCAAGCAAAAGCCAGATGGCTCTATTGATCGCTACAAAGCACGCCTGGTTGCTAAAGGGTTTAAACAGCAATATAGCGTTGATTATGATGATACTTTTAGTCCAGTTGTTAAGCCCGCTACCATTCGACTCTTATTATCTCTTGCTATTTCTCGTGGTTGGGCTATTCGATAGATTGATATTCAAAATGTTTCTCTTCATGGCTTTCTTAATGAAGATGTTTATATGAAGCAGCTCCCTAGATTTGTGGATTCTCAACATCCTGGTTATCTCTACAAGCTCGATAAGTCGCTTTAGGGCCTTAAACAAGCTCCGTGTGCCTGGTTTTCTCGTCTTAGCTCCAAATTATTACAGCTAGATTTTACACCTTCAAACGCTGATGTCTCTCTTTTCATTTTTAACAAGACGGGCATTCAGATGTATATCCTCATCTATGTTGATGACATTATTATCATCGGCTCATCTTCTACGGCTACTGAGAAACTTCTTACACAGGTTCAGGATGACTTTGTCGTCAAGGATCTTGACATTTTGAGTTATTTTCTTGGGATTGAGGTCCGCCATACTTCCGACTTATTCTGACACAACATAAATACATTAAAGATTTATTGTCCAGAACCAATATGCTCACTTTCAAAGGTGTTCCCACACCTATGCTTCCTAGTGAGAGGTTGTTATTGGATGGTGGTGAAAAGCTCTCGCCTGAGGATACTACTCGCTATCGAAGTGTCGTTGGTGCTTTCCAATATTTGTCTCTGACATGTCCTGATATATCCTTTTGTGTTAACAGAGTGTGTCAGTTCATGTCCTCCCCGACTTCTATACATTGGGCGGCAGTCAAACGAATTCTCCGTTATCTATATGACACTATTGATATGGGTTTATGTCTTACAAAGTCCAGCACTGATTTGCCGAGTGCCTTTTCGGATGCTGATTGGGCCGGGAATCCTGATGATCGTCGAAGCACTGGAGGCTACGCGATCTTCTTTGGTGGCAATCTTATCTCTTGGAGTTCAAGGAAACAATCGACAGTTTCTCATTCTAGTACGGAGGCCGAATATAAGGCGGTTGCTGATGCCACTACCGAATTAATCTGGATCCAAGTCCTCTTGCGTGAGCTCGGGATCTCGCAAGTGTGAGCGCCTAGCCTGTGGTGTGACAACATTGGTGCCACCTATCTATCCGCCAATTCAATCTTTCATCAATGGACGAAGCATGTTGAGGTTGATTATCACTTCGTTTGTGAACGAGTATCGACTTTTCGGCTTGATGTGCGACTCATATCTTCCAAGGATGAGCTCGCCGATATCATGACAAAGTCACTGCCAGCTCCTTCTTTTAGCAATTTTAGGCGCAATCTAAACTTAGTAATACATCGTCCAGATTGAGTGGGGTGTTAAACGTATGATAGATCATATCTGTATATAGTAAGATAATCTAGTGATTTACTGGTTTGTTACCAAATGTATGATTTACAATGTAATCTTCATTATACACATCTATATATACATGAGGTATATAGGTCACAGTCCATTTAACCTAACAATATCAATTACGCGTCCTAATTCACAATGGTATCATTTTAAACTATCAACTTTAATAAAATCAATTTAGAAATTTTGCTACTAACTTCTAACTATATTCCTTTAATTCCATTTAAAACCATATAAATAAACCAAAAATTTCATCAAATTACACATATATGTGCGTGTCATTTCATCAAAAATGCAAGAATTTAATTTAAAGAATTGCTATTTTCTATTAGATTATCTCAATTTTTTTTTCTTCTCTAATTTATATTAATATTTGTATTTAAAGAAGTTTTATACATATGTTATTCATCAACAGTTCCAAAATAAAAATCTAATAAAAGTCTAAATGAATTAATTCATATAATTATTAGAATTCGAGAGTTTAATTGATACAACTCCTAAACATAAATTATTAATATTATTGTTAAAAAAAAAAAGACAAATTTCTTTTTGTTTGATTTGATTGTAGAACCATTGTTTATTATTATTATTATGATTATAACAAAAAAAAACAGTTTTTTTTTTTTTTATAAAAAAATATTTTGTTTGACTTGATATAGAACCATTGCTTCGTCTGTCACTTTCTTTTTGGATTTTTATTTGCTTAAATTACGATTTGATATGTATGGTTCGGTATAATATCAATTTGGTCTCTATAATTATAAAAATTTCAATTGCCTCTCTATAATTTTTATGATTTAGTCTAAAACTTCAATGGATCCTCCAGTTTACAACTATATTAACAAATACATTTCACAATAAAGTTTAGTATTGGGACAATTTAGTGGGATTTAATGGAAAGTGAAGCCAAAATATAGGGACTAAGTTGAAAATCTTAGAATTATAGGGACCCACATGAAATCTAACCTTGGATGCATTCCTGCAAAACTCCAATCAGCTTAGTACACTGCAACTGGAATAAAGTACAAACAAAAAATGCACTGAATCCAAGTAAGTATGGCCATACCACCTAGTTTTTCAAGGTTATAAGATTATGGATAAACAAGCAAGCAGCCAATGTTTGGTAGCAAACAAGAAATCATCTCAACATTGAGCATATCCAGTTCTACTTCAAAAACTCTCTCTCTATGGTCATATAATATGCCATTTGTGAAACATGTCAGGGGCTGTTTCTTTTGATGCAGTAATGCATTGCTACTTCCTTTGCAGCAGCTAAAGATATTCACAAACACAACCATGCATCTAAAATTACTCAGATTCCCATTCCCATTTTCAGATGAAACATATTTGCACAGAGTTATTCTTCAGAGGGCTCCCACAACAGACAAAATCAAGCAATTCTATCTTACCTACATGAATTTATATGAAATAATTAGCCTGTAAGTCTATGTTGTAGAGGTCTATGCTCGGTGGATGAGTCACTAATTACCATGTCCGAACAAAATTGCTAGAACGGAAAAAAGGCAGCCTTTTTGTTGTAGAGACCTAATGTATAGAATCATTTGACAATAAACTAAGAAGGGCAGTGTTAGAACAGAGTGAAAGTTGTTAGTGAACAAAGATATCAATAATAAAGGCTTGGGTTGTTAGGAAGATACCCTCGAAAGTTGTAGTTCAAGCTGGAAACTCAATAATGTAAAAGAAACACAACAATCTTTGATGGTATTCCCAATCAACTTCATAGGAAGGAATCAATTTCGCTGTTGCTGTGAAATAGGCACCACAATCTTTGATTCCCAAAGCATCGAATAACCCTATAATCCAGATGCCTACAATCTTCAATGAAACGAAATCACACCCAATTGAAAAAGATGTTCCAAGCCAACCGCTAGCAAATATTGTCCTCTTTGAGCTTTTCGGGCTTCCCCTCAAAATTTAAAAACACGTCTGCTAGGGAGGGGTATCCATACCGTTATAAGGAATGCTTCGTTCCCCACTCCAACCGAAAGTTTCCACATCTTTATAAGAAATGTTTCGTTCCCTTCTCCAACCGACGTGAGATCTCACAATCTACTCCTTGGGGGCTCAACGTTCTCACAGGCACACCGCCCATTCTCCTCTCTAACCGACGTGGGATCTCACAATCCACCTTCCTTGAGGACTCAGCATCCTCAGTGGCACACCGCCTAGTGACTGACTGTGATACCATTTGTAACAGCTCAAATTCAACGCTAACAGATATTGTTCTCTTTGGACTTTCCCTTCTGGACTCCCCTCAAGGTTTTAAAATGCTTATGCTAAGGAGAGGTTTCCATAGGAATCGCTTCTTTTTCCTCTACAACCTATGTAAGATCTCAAAACAACCCTCAATGAATACGTTTATCTGAATCTAGGGCTTCCATTTTGGCCTTGCAATCAATTAAGTTGGCTTGAATTGGGGGGGAAGCAATAAACAAACATCAAATTACTAGCTAAAGCAGATATCAGAAGTCAAAAGGGAGAAGGTTGAAGCAATTCTGCCCCCAGATTCTGAATTATATATCCGTAAGCATAACTCAGAGCAAAACAAAAGAGAATCGAATGGAAGGAGAGAAACAGAACATCAGAGTACACATATTAGCGTGAACATCAGCTCTTTATTTTCCTGAAAATTAACTCGAAACATATCCTCCTCTTACATGTTACATTCAGCAATTAACAACAGAATCCCGCAAGAACAGTATCATCAGCACCACAACCACACTCATCCAAATCTTATCAAACAAAAGAGATAATCGAAGGAAGGGTATATACAGAGAGATCGGAGTCGTGAACTTTGAAACCTAGAAAAAGAAAAACAATCATCTACCTGGTGCTGCAAAGAACACAATCCAAAACCCTAAACCAAACATGCCGAGCCCGCGGATAGACCCGATTGGTATACGTTCTGGACTCGCGAAGTATCTCCTCCATGGTCTCGACGAAGAGATTGAAGCTCCGGAGAGGCGGAACATAGAGAGTCAAAGGTACTGCAGAGAAAGCCACCGTGAAGAAGAACTGCAACATCGTTCACAGAAACGAAGGATTTCCAGAGTCACCGGGAAAATTCGAGGAAATTGAGTAGTTCTAGGGTTGATGAGTGGGGAATTTGGGGCCTATCAAATAGAAATTGGAGGAGAGAGAAAGAGATGAGAGAGAAAAAGGTCTGTCTGGAAGTTTGCAGAATGGATTTGATGCAAATGGATGTGGAAGACGGGTAGTAAGCGGGTAGGCGGGGTCTACTGGCTTTTTTTTTCTTTCTTTTTTTTTCTTTTTTTTTTTTCTGTTTCTGGACGCTCATTTTTTATTTTTAGTAGTTTTTATTTTAACTAATTAATAAAAATATACTTTATCTCAAAAAAAAATACTTTTTAATTTTTAATTTTAACAATGTCTTAAAATTTTTTAAAATACCTTTATTTTTTGTTTAAAAAAAACTCTTAAAACTTTTGAAATGATTAAGAGATGACACCAAATTTAAAAATTTTTAATTAATATCTTTCATTTTTTTTATAATTAAAGTACCTTTAAACATTCATTTAAAAAAATTCAAAAATCCCTCTAAACTTTTTTAAAAATTTTAAAAATACATTTACAGTCCGTAATAATCAAATATCAGTTTTCGTCCCATATTTTAAAGATAAATGGTATTTATGCTACTTTTAAAATTTTAAAATTAAGGTACTCTTTAAATATAGTTATTTTTATTTTTTAATAAATAGTTGAAAGAATATTAATAAGACTTTTTAAAATTTAAGATATTTTTTAATTATTATTAAAAGTAAAAAAAATAAAATAAAAAAATAAAAAAGAGGTATTTTTGAATCCAAACGAGTAGGCGTTTGCCCCGGGTTTCAATCGAGGGATGGAATTGATTAAAATTACAAATTTAGAAATTTGAATTTTATTTGATTTTAAACTTTTAGGATAAAAGTGATTTTAAGTATTTTACTGTCCTGCTAATTACTATTAATTTATAAAATTAGATATATTTAAAATATTTTTGTAACACAAAATAAGCTTACACGTGACTTTAACAAGTAGATTTTCAATTAAATATGTGATTGCCAACGCACCTAAATTTTCAACTTTTATCATTTTTTTTTCATTTTTTTAATTAAAGTTGGTAGATCACCGGTTTATTTACATTATTGTCCATTCTTAAAATTAAAACATTGTTGATAGGAAAATATTTAGTATCTACACAAGCCCTAATTTAAACATTGTCAGGATATTTTAAGAATAAATATTTAGGTATTTTATAATTTTTTATATATATATTTTAGAAATAAAAATATCTCGGTCCAGTAGGAATAAATATTTAGATATTTTAGAAATAAATCGAGAAAATCAAATCTAGACGATCATAAAGGTGTGCTTTACACTATATCACCTATACCCACCAAAATTTTCGTCTCGCAACCTTTAAGCAAAGTAAAGTATAGTAGTTTCTATAGACGATTTTGTAATCTGTTATTGATTGGTTCTGATAAAAATGTGTGTTTTTGAGACGGTATTTTGTAAATACGTAATTATCTTGAATATGTTAACTATTTCTTTATTTTTCGATCGCCTGAAAGGGACAAAAGAAACATCTTGTGTCATTAAAGAGCTGTGTTCAAGAGTTTGGTATTAGAGCAGAGTTGATATAGGCTGGTTTGATCTATTGAGGTTATAGTGAGTTTTTTCGCGTTGTGAGTAGTCCATGACCCTGTGTTGAAAACTAGCTTGTTTGGCATTACTGAAGTACTCTCAACACGATGGGTGATCTCCATGTTGTCGAAATCAAGAAACTCAACATTAACAACTACAACACGTGTGCAACATGTATGATGTTCTATCTACAAGGACAAGACTTTTGGAAGTTTGTTGGTGGAAGTGAAATTATGGTTCTAGAGAAGGATGCTAATGACATTGTATGCGAATTGAGAATCAAAACAAGCAAAGTAATTAATGTTTGCCTTGAAAACTACTGTCGAGTATAAGATGTTGGAGCATATTTGGGATGACAAGACATCAAAATAAGCATGAGTGACGCTTTTCTAAAAAAATAACGATACGATGATACAAATCATGGAGAACGAGGTGATATCAATTTCACAACGCGACATGACGATTGCTTCGTACTTCTACTAGGTCAACTCAATTTAACGAGAGATTACTAAACTAGATTCGGAGTTCGTTATCGGAGAAAGTCGAATGAAGAGGATGATCATCTACATATTGGGACAAGAATATATAAGTTTTGTTATTGATGTACAGGGATGGTCTACTCAACCATCACTCTAGAGTTTGAAAATACGCTAGTTAGCCAAGAAGCAACTGCTAAACAAATAGAAGGCATCACACTGAAAGGTGAAAAAGAAGTTCTTTGTATAAGTGAAAGTCGAATCAACAATAAATCATCCACCAAAGGTAAATACAAAAATGCTGATAAAGGAAAAAGTCATAAAAAAAGCTGCACAGCCCTTGAGAGCTTAAAAACAATGAATGATGATGGGATGCACTCTGTGCCATAGAAGAAGACGAGCTAGCACACATGATAATGGTGGGATAACATATCGATTATAAGAATGACTTGATCATTGATCTAAGATGCTCAAACCATATGACTGGTGTTCACAGGAAACCGCAAGACAAGAAAGAGTCCACAACCAACGACACAAAGTTGTCGATCGCTTAGATTGACTCAAAAAGTCAAAAGTTTCCAAATATTTTTACAAATAATTTAAAATTGATATATTTAGATATAATTTAACTTAGAAAATAATACAAATAACTAAAAAAATATTTGACATTGAAGTCAGTCAAAACAGGGGCCGCGGCAAACTGATTGTTAGGAATCACGACTCTCCACAATGGTATGATATTGTCCACTTTGAGCATAAGCTCTCATGGCTTTGCTTTGGGCTTCCCCAAAAGGCCTCATACCAATGAAGATAGTATTCCTCACTTATAAACCCATGATCTTCCACTAAATTAACCAATGTGGGACACTCCCAATCCCAATAATCCTCAACACTGATGTGTCTGTTCTGCTGCTGATCCTCCATAGTTGCAAAATCTCTCTCTGTAACTCTTCATCTTCCCCGCCATTTTCTTAAGATCTCAATGCGGAAGAAGCGCCGAGTTCCAGAGGTTCTATGGCGGCTCTTCCGCCATCGCGCACGCACGCTTGCTGAAACCATCACGTCGTTACTTCCACCGGCCGATTGCCGCTGCGAGAGGCGGCGATGTCTGCACTGCAGCGGTGCTGCGCCGGAGGGTTTCCTCCTCAGACCAGGTGATCCTCGCGCTTATCGAGACCTTCTGACTCAGTGTTACGTTGTTGTCTCTGAGAAGGCGTCTCCGCGCTCTGATTTTTCAAATGAATCGCACTGGTCTCTGCATGAGGTTCGTGGTATTTTTCCATTTTCACTCTTGGTTTGAGAATTTTCATGTACGTTTTTTTAGGAAGAACTTATGCAAATGCTAATGGTGCAGACATTCTTCAATAGTAGCTACTGAAAATGGAAAGGAGAAGTGGTTATTATGCGATTTTCGCGATGCGATGTTTTTAAACTGGACTTTATTTTTGCGACGTGTTCTGTTCAAAATATAACTTCCTTTAATTACTATTGCAGCTTTGAAATATGGAACTGCTGCATATTTATGGATATGAGAGAGCCTCTGAGTCATTTCTCATTAGTTGGGATATAGAGTTATGTTATTCTATATGAATCCGTGGCCAATTTTTTTTCTGTTGTATGTGATTAAATTTTACTTATGTTCGGCAGATTGTGGTGAGGACTATAGAAATCATAATCAGTACACAACGGGTTGATAGCAATTTAATTTGCAGTGGTTTTGATAAGGTAAGAATTCATGATTCCTCTCTCTAAAAGGATCACAATTGCTGTGGTGATTAATCTTTCAGTGTCTTGTCCTCTCTCTCTCTAGATGTATATGTGTGTGTATATATATATTGTGTCGAGGTCTCGAGTAAAGATGATAAGGTTGAGAGTTATGGCATGTTAGTAGGAAATATCCTCTGTATTGTTCCCTCTCACTCGCAGTGGTACCTATCGTTCTCTTGGCTGAATGAAGTCTGGTGTCATTTGTGTCACATATATAGGTTTGACACGTTTAGTGTTTTTATCTTTTTATTGTGTTCTTTCAAAGTTTTAGTAGAACTCACTGAAAGGCGTTAATTGGAGGTGCTAATGACGAAAAAAAAAGTAAAGTGATTATGAGTAAGATGCGAAAAATTTTAAAGCCTTTTTTGCAGGGATACTTCAAGACTAAAATTATTATTCTATTTATAGATTAAGATTGGATTAAGGGTATCATTTATTTCTTAGGACTAAGAACTAAACATGTCTTCAGTTATACTAAAGGTTGGATAGATTTTTTATCTGGCAGAAGGTGAAGTGCACACTACATTTTTATTTGGTATTCACACTTTGTCCTTTTTTTTCTATTTCAAGATTAACCAATCATGTTTAACAGTTCACCCGGTCAAGTCCAGTTGTTGATCTTTTAACTTGTCCGGCCTGGGATCTTCTCTTAAGCCGGGTATGCTGTCGTTTTGACTTTTTCATCAACGTCTTAAACTTATAAAATTGTTCCTTGTTATTCACTAATGCTCGAGTGTCAATTTAAATTGGTAGGTTAGGGATGATATGATGGTCTATCTGCTAATGCATACTTCAATATTCTTGCCCCAACCAAAGAAGACGCATTATCAGGTGGCAGGTCTTCCCATCAATAATTTATGCATTAAGTTGTCAGAATATTCAGCTGTTTCCCCAAATCAAAGTAATTTATTTGGTAAACATGGTAAGTAGGACATGTAGTTATTCTATCTTTGAGTTCTTAAATGAATGTCATGTTCATTCACTTTCGTCCAGTTCTTCAAATGACATTTTACGTTGATATCCAATGTTACCTTACATTTATTTGTCTGCTCTGAAAATTTGGTTGTACAAACAAAAACAGATGCAAAAGAGGATCATCCAAATTATTCTCAATTTTAAGGATGACCAATTTAATTATAATAACTCTAAGATTGAACCACTGTCACACTGCTTTTGTCAATGAATTCACACCTTCAAGTGTGATTTTTTATCTTGTCCTTATTATTTTCCCATTCTGGAATGCCGAGTGGTTTGCTCCCTTTATAGGTAATTTTTAACCTATAACTTAGAAGATTACGAGAATGT